TCATGCAAGGTGACCATGGCAAACATACCACAGACAAAGTAAAACAATGTGATGCAAAAAAAAAAAGAACTGTAACTTAGATATAGGCCTGGTTTCTTTATCAGGCAAATGAGCTAATCACCAAGAGCTTCCGAGATCCGATGAACCTATACCGGAGACTGTCAAAACAAGTTTCTGATTTCAGCTTATTGTCATCTTTTCAAGCCTTGCATTCTGCTCTCGGTGATAATACACATCCTCTAACATAAGCCTAACTGAACTTCACTTCATTCTTCTCATCTTATGTTGCTTGCCATCTTCCTCCTCCAAAAGTAGTTACGTCATGAAATGTAATAAAATTCAAAATGTCTCATTTGAACATCTTTAAAGTTTCCATTCGAGAATTAAATGTTAATAGACAATTGTAATTCAATAGAAAGGCTATATAATAGAATGAAGCTACACATTTAAGTACTCAAAAACTGTCCAACCTTGACAGATTTGTCATAGAAATACTTTGCAAATGCAATTTTTGCAAGTACATACAATTCAAGACCTGTGATCAAGCATGAAAAATAACATGACCTTGTTTCAAATTAGTTTACAAACACTGAAAACAAAAGCCTAAAATTCCGGTAGAGAATAATTTCATAATATCTTAATAGATTTAAGTATCAAGAACAAAATCTACCAGCCTGATATTCTGATCCTGTATATAAACGGCTTAATTGAGTTTTGAGTGCAATTTCAACAAGCATATCAATAAAACCGCTTATAAATCCTACACAACAGAAGTCTAACAATAAGCAACCGAACCTCAAACAGTAATGGAGTTCTCCGGCGAAATGAAACTGAAATTTCAACAACAGAATTAGGCGCTGAGTGCTGATACCTCAATATGAGATCATTCTATGCTGTCTATTTTCTGTTTCTTGGCTGGTTATAAGAATTTCTTTGATGGATGTTCAAAATCACAAAAATAATCCAGAACTTGAGTCTCAAAAAGAAAATGCATTAAATCATTGAGTAATTTGAGAACTGGCGTAAAACAAAATTTTTTGATGTTAATAGTTGCCTTCACACAAAAAAAAAAAAAAAAGAAAAGAAAAAAAAGAAATGACGTGATAGTTTAATTTTTAATAAATATGTATACAATATTTATGATATGATAAATATAAATAAATAATAATAATAATAATAATAGTAATAATAATAATAATAATAAAGGTATAAGTTGATAAGGATTTGATTGATTCGGACATCATACCATTCCACCTATTGATCATACATTCGATCTAAATTTAAATAATTGAACACTTAAAAGCATCATATTTGGATGTCTACAGTACAATTCCAAATGAAAAATAAATAAATAATTACAGTTTAGATCTCCATCCCTATGTGCAAAACATGATTTAGGTTGGTGTCAAATATGTAGACCCAACCAACCTTTAAGTGGTCAAGTGGTTCGATAATGACTTTTAGATATATTATTCAAGAGTTATTAATAAGAGTGATCATTAAATTTCTTATCTAATCGATAGTTCCAGAGTCATGGAAATTAGTTGAAGTATATGTAAACTATATTATATAAGCTATAAAATGAGGTAATTTAGTTTGTCAAACTCCTTTTTTTTTTTTTTTTTGTTACCAGGGATGTCTGGGCTAACTTATGCGCATCTCGACTAGTCCTCCGACCCCGAACTAGGCTTTTGAAACAAGGCAAGTCCTGCAGTCTGTGGCTAATAATATTAATAACTGTTCTTGTGATTTGAATCTAAAATAGGGATGGGCACGGGCCAAGGACCCCTGTCTTCGGCCCCGACCCAAAAGCCCAATGGGTTCCCCGATCCCAGCCCGTAGCCCGTTCGGAGAATTCAGGAAATCCCCAAATAAAGCCCATTCCCCCGAATTCCCCGTTTAGGGGTTTTGTGTCTTTATTATCATTTTCTCTAAATTATAATATATTATCAAAAAAAAAATTAAATCTATAATTATTTATTGATTTATTATAATCAATCAAAATACCAAATGATATATTACACATATATAACATATATATTATGTATTAACATATGATTATAGATAATAGCACATATATATTACAAATATTTATAATGATTTAATATAATTAATCTAGTTTTATTTATTACTTATTCCTAACCCCGGCTCATCCCTGAATTTCAAGACTAATTTTGAGCTCGATCTCAACTCAAATCCCAAATGATTCGGGGAAACTCCGTCTCGTTAGCGGCGGGATGGGGTGAGTCTCTGCGGGGTTGGGTTTTATGCTCATCCCTAATCTAAAGTCACAGGAGAAGCAAACCTCTTAGCCTCAAGCCTTTACCATTCAGTCAACCCACTGTTGGTTAGTTTGTCAAACTCTTCTTATATTAAAACTATACAATACAATGTCAAAACATATTAGATCAACTTAAAATATTTCCATAAATTAATAAAAAGGAAAAATGATTCAGTGTTCATAAACGAGGTTGGCTCTTTTAAAAATTCAAAATTATATGCATAAAAGCCCACGGTAAATCTTCCTCTTATAGATCACATCGACATAACAACGTTAGTTGTACGGTTTAACATAAAATTGGTTAAAGATAGTATAAGGCCGATGGAAATGTAACCATTTTTAATATCTGAAGGGGCAAATCGAACAAATTATTAACAGACAATTTGACCGTATTGCTTATAGCTAAGTGTCACCATAGACCAAAGTCTCACTATATGCTGCTAGCAAATTCTGCCGACACTCTTCGACACGTTAAAGTCCACAAAATTGAAGGGCCTTTTTGGCAACTTCAAATTATAGAGCTGTGGCGGTACTGGGCTGGCCTTTTAATTCCCCTCATTGTTGACTTAGGCAGCCAGCATTACCGTGCCAATAAATTATTATTTATTTTATGTATTTTTTATGTTTTGAAATGGGCCGTACACCAATGAAATTAATCTCCTCTAATTAAACAAAAAGGTTGGCAGATATCAAGGTCACCAATGCCATCTAACTTACGATTTGGTTGGACTCATTTTTCAGTGTATCTTTCAAGCGTGGTCGATTTGTTATACAGAAAATCACTACTTTTGTCAAACGACATTTGATTATTTTGATTAACCTTAGCATGTACAAGTTTGGTGAGGCATAACATTGTGTGAAAAGAATGTAATATAGTAATTAACAATGAAATTAAATTTTGACTAATAATTTAATCCTACATAAATTTACACAATAGATATGTTAAAAGAAAGGACAGCATTTCAAAGACAATTATTTGACAAATATGAGTATATTATTTGTAGAATTGTATGTAAAAGAGTTGTGATTACATTTGTGGCAAAAGTAAAGATAGTAGTTAAATTAATCATTTTGAAGGAAAAACTAGTCTAAATGGTAATCATTTAACTATTAACTATCTCTGGATAATTGAGTGGTTTGATAAGGACTTTTAGGTAATTATTCAAGAGATCCTGAGTTTGAGTCTTTCTTTATTTACTAATAAGGGTAGTCACTAGAACTCTTATCCGTTCATAGTCTTTGAGTTTAAGAGATTGATTTAGTTATGCATAAGCTGATCTGTATATCTCCCATCATAAAAAAAAAATCATTTAACTAGAAGTGGAAGAGGAAGTTCTAATATTAACTAAATCATAAGAAAAAATTTGAGGTAAAAAATAAATATTTATGAACAATGGGAATATCATTTGAACATTAATCAAATTCAATCAGATATATTTTCATAATATATATTTTTTTTCTTTTACACAAAATAGAGATTGATATGGAGATGATTAATGACAAATTGGAATTAATATTTTACCCGGATTCAGCTTCAGTTACTTATGGACAAGATCAAAAATAGGTTCTTTGCTCCTAATGAACGATAATTTACATATGTAGTATTTAATAGCTCCCATTCACCCTACCAATAAATAAATATGCATCTCTATTTCTCAATCATGATTTCATCCCAAACAGGAACGTTTTGATCGAATGCTAAATAAAATATATTCTTCTATTATTTGGGCATATTTATGAATTATTCAAGAAATAGGAATTAATTTTAGTATATATTTCTAATATTAAGCATTATATATTGACTTTGCATATTAGTAAAAAAATTTCTACGTAACTATGAGAATGTTGAACATTGTTTTAAAAGATTACCAAAAAAAATAAAAAAATAAAAAAATCAGTAATCTTAATAATATTTTAACCATTATCTAACATTTTGCACTCTAATTACGTCATTTAATGTCACATATATTATCACCAAACAATAATAAATTCGCAACCATTATTTAACATGTCACAATTCAAAGCCTATCATTTGAAAATGTATGGCGAAGGACACGTAGGGGAACCTTAGATCTCAAATTCGAAATTCCAAGACAGCATATTTTATTGAATTTTTATGAAAATCGAATTCCAAAAAAATATTCAACATAATTTTATTTAAATTACATCATAGATTTTTTTTTTAATTCCCAAATTATCAGTGATCTAAAAATAAATTAAAAATATTTAAATACCATCTAAAATTTAGGTTGTCAAGTCAATTTATAATTAAATGATAGAAACACATTAAAATTATATTTGAAAATAGTATTTTTGTTTGTTTACATTATTACATATACTAAATTTTGAAAACAACAAAATTATTTTTAAAAACTATATATGATTAAGAAATAAAGAATATAATGGTCCACATAAAATCAATCTGAACCGTCGGGTGAAGCGCTGGATGAAGTGGCTGTCATCCAAGTTACCACATAAGATACCCTATTAAACCCACAGAACCCAGTTCCAAATCTCGACAAAACCGGAAAAGGGTAGCGGAAATGGCAAACTCCGTAATAAAACTCAACATTGAATGGCAATTAGGCCTTATTCACAATATTTAAATGACAGCGACGCATAGAGAAAGAAGAGAAAGCTAAAGCCAGCAGCCGATAAAGCCATCCCATCCAAACAAAGTCCAGCCCCTGCCCTTGTATTCTCTTCTCTTTCTCGTGGTTTCATCTTCTTCTTTCACCTTGTGGTTTTCTTTTCTCTATCTCTCTCTATCCTTCTCTTCTACACACAATTCTTTCTTATTTTTCTCAGATTTGCTCTTCTTCTCGATCCCCCAACTGTAAGTCTATCTAACCCTAATTTACTCCCATTTTGCCCCTCGATCTTATCTTTATTTCCGAGATCCCTAATTGTCGATTTATTATTATTATTATTTATTTTTTTATTTTGTAATTGATTGAAGCACCGCTTTGTTTTGATTGTTTGTGTTGCATGCGACTGATTTTGATTGGCCAGTTATCGGATTGAGTTTTCCGATTATTTATCGAGATTCTTGATTTGTTGCGATTTTCTTGGTGAATGGATTGTTTACTTTGATCTGCGATTAGCAATTTTGGTATTATGCATTGATTTTCTTGCTGTGATGAAAGCGAAATTATGATTTTAGGGTTTGATTTGTGATGTGTTGGTGTTAGTGTGAACTGCTTATTGTAGCTGCGTGTTGAATAGATTGGGACTTCTCTAGGGTTTTGTCATTATTCGGGGTTTATTTGATGAGTAATTGGATTGGGTTGAGATTAACAGTAATGTGAATTGATAGAAGGAGTTTATGTAGAGTCTTAAGGTGAAATTGTATGTGGTTCACTTGAATGAATGCTTTTATTTCCTGGGTTGGTTATGTAATTAAATTTCTTTTCTTTATTTTCTCGAAATGGTATTGAATTTGCAATATTATATGTATGTTAGGCTTCAGTCGCCCCTATGGGCGTATGCCTAAAATGAATGTAACACATGTTTTAATTTCTTCAGGCAACCATGAGTGACGAGGGAGAAAAGACTTGTCCTCTCTGTGCCGAGGAGATGGATTTGACAGATCAACAATTGAAGCCTTGCAGATGTGGCTACGAGGTCTGAGACAGTGATCTTTTAATAAATTTAGAAAAAAAGATAAGATATCTGGGTAATGCACGTATGAAGATGTTAACCTGCAACACTCTTAGGCTGTCATCTAAAGATTTTAATATGACTACAAATATGTTGTAATACCCAGATGTGCTAATTAAGTATCATTTTCTTGTTTAAGTTGAATTTTCCAGTATGACAAGTGCAAAAGTTTTTGATACTGGAAGAATGCCAAATGTTGTTTGTTATCGGGCACAAACCCCACTTACCATCACTGAGTCATATAAAGCATTGGTTTCACTAATTTGAATTAATATTCTTTTGCTATTTTGCTATAGTGTGGACAATTACCTTTTTAGTAATCTTCCACAGGTCTGAGGTCTAGGACAGGTTATGGACTCATTGTTATACTTTTTGTTGCTTTGTTTTCAATATCATAACATTTTTTTCTTTTTCTCCCTTGCATTAGATCCGAAGTGGGATAAACCTTTTCCAGATTTGTTTCTTTGTAATGTTTACAATTTGGGTTTTGAATACTTTACTATTATGGTGTAAAAACTTGGTGTTATTTTAATCTAATCGACATGAAAATAGGGAGCAAAAAAGAAAAAAATGGAGAACTTGTAGGTATACAAAGATGTCTATAAAGTGCTGAGTTATTAACGACAAGTCATCAGTGGTTGGGCTAACTTCCCTATCTGATTGGTGTTAACTTGCCTCTTAGGATGTAAGGTATAAGATGCAATTGATACAATTGGTATTTTAATTCTCTTTCTTGAAAGGATTGATGATGAGTGTCATACTAAATCTAGGCCGACCATTCTTTTGAGCATTGAACAATTTTCATTAGTCCCACTTTCTTTAAAATTCAAGCAATGAAGGTTCCTTTACAAGGTCTTCCTTTATGTCTGTAGACCAAGATGCTTAAGTGAAAGGGAGTTTTAGATGTAGTGGTTGTGCTTGATCTATTTAATATAGTATTTTTGATGAAATTTTTTGACTGTTTATTTTTGTTATGCTTTATATGTATTAATTGACCACTTCATTTTAGATATGTGTTTGGTGTTGGCATCACATAATGGACATGGCTGAAAAGGATGAGACAGAGGGTCGGTGTCCAGCATGTCGTCTCCCTTATGACAAGGAAAAAATTGTTGGGATGGCTGCAAAGTGCGAGAGGTAGTTATTTGTTCAATAATATATTTAGTTTATATGAGAAAGAATACAACCTATATTCCTCTTTCTCGCATTTTTCTGTTAGAATTATTATTTATATAGTTATTTTTTGTGTTTCTTATTTCAACAGACTGGTGGCTGAAATCAATTTCGAGCGGAAGATAAAGTCACAAAAGTCTAAGACTAAAACATCTGAAGGAAGGAAGCAACAACTAAGCAGTGTTCGAGTTATTCAACGAAATTTAGTTTACATTGTTGGGCTGCCACTTAATTTGGGGGATGAAGATGTATTCTCTCTCTCTCTCTCTCTCTCTCTCTCTCTCTCTCTCTCTCTCTTTATGTTTAGTGCATTTATATTTTTGGGGATGAGCTGGGTTGGTGTTGTTCATATTTTTTTTCTTTCTTTCTCTTAACATGTTATGAATATGGTACTGCATTGTTCTGCAGCTTCTTCAGCGTAGAGAATATTTTGGTCAGTATGGGAAGGTTCTAAAAGTATCTATGTCTCGTACAGCAGCTGGTGTCATTCAGCAATTTCCAAACAATACTTGTAGTGTGTAAGTTCAAATGTTTTCTTAATGTTTAGGTCATTCTTGGTATGAAATGTTTTCTCTTAGGAGGGAATTTCCTATGTTAACACACAACATGGTGCAGTTGTATTTCCGGACATCAACTTTTTAACGCTTTTGTTATTTGTAAGATTATTTAAGTATTTTTTCAATTTGCTTATTTTTACAATTTTTGCACAATTTGCTTGTGTATTTCCAAGTGTTTGGTTTATTTTTTTCATTCACATCTACTTATTTGGTACTCACGTTGTTTAATTTTATTCTTTCCTTGCAGATATATTACTTACTCAAAAGAGGAGGAAGCTGTTCGATGTATTCAGTCTGTACATGGGTTTGTTTTGGAGGGTAAATCTTTAAAGTACGTTCGAGTTTACATTAGCCAAACCTGTCATATCTTTTATGGTGTCCTTGTTTATTGTCTTCATCATAAGCTTTTTATGTTTTGAATTATGCATTTTAGGGCATGCTTTGGGACTACAAAGTATTGTCATGCTTGGCTGAGAAATGTGGTATGTACCATAAAATCTTATTTGGTCTGCAGTAGATGATTGTAACAAGCATTTTTCTGATATAACTTAGGGTGTTGAATTTTTGTTGGCTTTAGCCTTGCAGCAATCCTGATTGTCTGTATTTGCATGAAATTGGCTCACAAGAGGATAGTTTTACTAAAGATGAGATTATATCAGCATACACAAGGTAATCTATATTTCTGTGCATTCAGTTTTTCCTTTGCTGTAAGTCTCATGTAAAGTTGCTTGCTTTAGCTTTTCTATCATTTTGTGGAATATATGTGTTTAATCCTGTGCCAGGTTTTTGTGCCTTATATATATATATAAAAACTAACAGACATACAATTATTGTTTTTGTTGTCATGTTTCTCATATTTTTATTGTGATCCAATTTCACAGAGAAGATATACTGTTCTTTTTCTTTTCATTAACAAACAAATGCAAATATTCTTGGTGTTGTCATGCCAAATGCTACTCCTGTACAGTTTATAAGGATACAAAAAAGTTTATAAGAATCAATTTTTGGTAATTTTTAAGACTTCAAATAAATTCATTTCAGACGTTGTTGTCTAATGACGTGAAGTTCAATTCGGATTTCAAGTGGAGATTTGAAATTTGATCCAAATTTTCTTAGCTTAGTAAAATTTGTGGGAAGAATTACAAATTGGTACTGTTATCATTTTTAGATTGATGCAGTTAGATTTGTTTATGGGTAAGCTTTGTGCTCCATGTTGTGTTTTCATTGATCCGTTGAATGATTGTTTAAATTACTTTGTGGTTTTACAGGAGTAGAGTTCAACAAATTACTGGCACAACAAACAATCTGCAACGACGTTCTGGTAGTGTATTACCGCCACCATTTGATGATTATTGCATTACTAGTTCTGCTTCTGCAGCAAAGCCCATTGTAAAAAGTGCTTCCAATGTAAGTTTTATTAGTTTTAACTAATATAGTTTCCCCAAGAAAGCTTTTATATTTTTGTTTTTTCTTTTGAGATGTTTTGTTAAGGTCCTGTTGCTTTTTTTATTTGATCTTTTGTTTATTTACGGGAGTTAGATTGGGGAGGTTGGGTTTTCATTATGCATCAACTGGAAGTTGTGTCAAATGTCTTGATTGCATATATGAGACTATGAAAATTGTTAAAGTATATGTCAATATTATGACCAAAAGGAATTATATTTAAATAAACCCCATAATTTTTCCCATGTTGTGAAATTTTTGGGTCACATTTGTATGACCTATAGGTCCAACCCTTATATAACTTCCAGACTTGTACTGGACAGTTGTCTTGATCTGTCACCTTTCTTTTGACAGAATACAGCGAGTATCTCTAAAGATTCTCCTCCAAATGGAAGCTCTAGTAGATCTGCAGCCCTACCAGCTGCAGCTGCATGGTATGTGATTTAATTGTCATTACATTATTTTTGGTAAATTTAGGTGCTTATCCTGAATATGTTAATGTGTTAGGGGAACGCGTGCTTCAAACCAACAGCTAGTAGCTTCTCCAGCATGTTCTAATGGACCTTCCAAGCAAAAACCTGAAACAGGTTGTGGCACTTTAGCATTTTCATCTGCAGTTGCAAACACAACTCCGGCATCTACATTACAGGTTGATTTAGTGAAAAAGCCAGCATTAAATGAGGATAGTCAAATTTCATATTCTAAAGGTAAGTCAGATTTGTTGAAACCATTGAGACAGCATGTTGGCATGGACTGTCGAGCCTCTACAGCAGAATTACCTCCTATACCCATTGGAGAGCCTGCTACAGTAAGTTTGAGCAGCCAGCTATCGAGTCCACCGTTATCCAAGTATAGTGATAAAGGCCTTAGTATGCCTCCAAATGTTATAGAGACTTTAGAAAGTACTGGGCATCCTTCTGTTTCTGGTCCTGAAAAGGAAGGGAATGTTGCAAAAGATGTTTTGATGCAGAACTTATGCTCGGATATGTCAGTAATGAGCATAGATAGCAATGTAATAGATGAACATTCTGGTATAAATAGATCTAGTAGTAAACTCCTGGATCCTGGGATGATTAAATCACCTGGGAGCCAAGGGTCTCAAGTTCAAGCTGATCAATCTAGAGAATCTTTGACGTCACCAGCAACTGGGAAACCTGCAATATTGACAAATGATGTCTTTGTTTCAAGAGAACAGTTTGATTGGAGGAAAGATCTACAAACTCAAGCAGTGTCTGANGTTGAATGATTGTTTAAATTACTTTGTGGTTTTACAGGAGTAGAGTTCAACAAATTACTGGCACAACAAACAATCTGCAACGACGTTCTGGTAGTGTATTACCGCCACCATTTGATGATTATTGCATTACTAGTTCTGCTTCTGCAGCAAAGCCCATTGTAAAAAGTGCTTCCAATGTAAGTTTTATTAGTTTTAACTAATATAGTTTCCCCAAGAAAGCTTTTATATTTTTGTTTTTTCTTTTGAGATGTTTTGTTAAGGTCCTGTTGCTTTTTTTATTTGATCTTTTGTTTATTTACGGGAGTTAGATTGGGGAGGTTGGGTTTTCATTATGCATCAACTGGAAGTTGTGTCAAATGTCTTGATTGCATATATGAGACTATGAAAATTGTTAAATTACATGTCAATATTATGACCAAAAGGAATTATATTTAAATAAACCCCATCATTGTTCCCATGTGAAATTTTTGGGTCACATTTGTATGACCTATAGGTACAACCCTTATATAACTTCCAGACTTGTACTGGACAGTTGTCTTGATTTGTCACCTTTCTTTTGACAGAATACAGCGAGTATCTCTAAAGATTCTCCTCCAAATGGAAGCTCTAGTAGATCTGCAGCCCTACCTGCTGCAGCTGCATGGTATGTGATTTAATTGTCATTACATTATTTTTGGTAAATTTAGGTGCTTATCCTGAATATGTTAATGTGTTAGGGGAACGCGTGCTTCAAACCAACAGCTAGTAGCTTCTCCAGCATGTTCTAATGGACCTTCCAAGCAAAAACCTGAAACAGGTTGTGGCACTTTAGCATTTTCATCTGCAGTTGCAAACACAACTCCGGCATCTACATTACAGGTTGATTTAGTGAAAAAGCCAGCATTAAATGAGGATAGTCAAATTTCATATTCTAAAGGTAAGTCAGATTTGTTGAAACCATTGAGACAGCATGTTGGCATGGACTGTCGAGCCTCTACAGCAGAATTACCTCCTATACCCATTGGAGAGCCTGCTACAGTAAGTTTGAGCAGCCAGCTATCGAGTCCACCGTTATCCAAGTATAGTGATAAAGGCCTTAGTATGCCTCCAAATGTTATAGAGACTTTAGAAAGTACTGGGCATTCTTCTGTTTCTGGTCCTGAAAAGGAAGGGAATGTTGCAAATGATGTTTTGATGCAGAACTTATGCTCGGATATGTCAGTAATGAGCATAGATAGCAATGTAATAGATGAACATTCTGGTATAAATAGATCTAGTAGTAAACTCCCAGATCCTGGGATGATTAAATCACCTCGGAGCCAAGGGTCTCAAGTTCAAGCTGATCAATCTAGAGAATCTTTGACGTCACCAGCAACTGGGAAACCTGCAATATTGACAAATGATGTCTTTGTTTCAAGAGAACAGTTTGATTGGAGGAAAGATCTACAAACTCAAGCAGTGTCTGATGCAAGTCCACAAGAAGAGGAAGATGTCTTATCTTTTGATAGTCAAAGACTAAAGGATCCAGAAGTTGTATGTCGTTCAACTTATTTGCCAAATTCAGCCAATTCATTCCATGTTTCAAATCACTCGAGGTCTCTGTCTTTGCAACACAGTGAGGCATTTTCTGCTGTTAATTTAAATTCTGATCCTCAATTTGTAGATAATAAATTTAGTGATGGTTCACATCTACATTCATCTAGCATTTCTTTGATATCAAATGGATACCCTGAGAAGTTGGTTAGGAGTTCTAACGGTTTTGATAGGACCGTAGAACATCCCTTTTTGCTTTCACATGAGGGTAAAGGGAAACCCCTAGGAAGAATACAAGGTGATTCTGATATCAATACTGCTGTAGATAGAAGAGAGAACAACATTATCTCAAATATATTGTCTATGGACTTTGATGCATGGGAGGACCGCCCCTTAGCTTTGCATCCGAATTTGGCTAAGTTTTTAGGTGAAACCGATAAAGAGCCTAGTTCAGTTGTGTCGAGTTCCTGGAAAGGACATAATAACAATCAGTCCAGATTCTCTTTTGCGAGACAGGAGGAAACAAAGAATCAAGCATTTGATGTTGAGCGATCATTTAGTGTTTTTGGTCAGGTTCCAAAGACCCACTCTTTCACCCAGGATTTTGCTGAAAATAGGGAGCCATTACTAGATAAGCTTGGTATTCGTAATGGCTTTTATCCCAGTAATTTTGAAGAATCGGACAATTTTCCTTGCAATCCTTCAGTTTTCTCTTCCAATAAGCTTTCTGGTGAGTATCGCCATTTTGTACTGAAGATGTTCTCCTTTGTTATCTATATTTTAATACAGATACTTAATAGTAACACTTCTTTTTTAAAATTATTATTTTGTTGTGTGTCCTTTATCTATATAGATTTTTCTTGGTTTTTTATTGATTTCTCTTTTTAAAGATTATCTTTTAATCTACTAGTTTTGTGAGGTACTTTGTTGGTTTTGTTCTGGAAGGCCTTTCTTTTTGTTTGTTGTACCGTTCTTTTTCTTTACTGATGCAGTTGTGTTCTGTACATGACATTGTCTAACAATTTTTTTTTTAAATCACTTGTGGCCCTAGTAAGCATATCTTATGTTCAATTATTCTCCTTTCAGAAGATTTTTGTTGAGTTTGCTTGATTCTGGCTGGTGATGTGAGTGATACTGTTTGTACTTTTTTCTATATCGCTAAATGGTGAATCCCAAGGGTTGGATTGAGTGGTATAAACCCTTCGTTTTTAATAAGACACTCAAATGCCCTTTTGGCAACCTACTTAGGCTATTATTGCTCACAAGTACCTAGGTACCAAAGTTGTGTATTGGGGATTTAACCCTCCCTTTAGAGCTTGGTGAAATCACAGGAAAAGATTCAAGGGATTTTTGTGTACTTAAAAAAATCACACTTTTAGCTGATGAAGTCAAAAACTCGTTTATTTTCTCTTCTGTTGTTCCAGTATCTGCCCCATCCTTGTTTTCTCTCTTTCAGCTCTTTATCCAAATGAACATTTTTCTGGTGGACTATCTGTCATTTTTCATTTGTCTTAAATTGACATAAGTCATGTGAGCATTCCTCGTACGGTTGTCAATTGTTCTTTTGTCTGTATGGTTGGAGTGTTTTATACTGTAGTTGGTGGATTGGTACTAAGCTTTTCATTCTTTTAACTATTTCTGCAAGTTTTTGTTTGTTTTTACTTTCAGTGTTTACGTCTCGTCATTTTATGAGTTTTGATTTAACTACATTTCATTTTGGGGGAAATGCAAGCAGTCTTTCTTCATACTTGTTTTAATTCCTTCTTTTTCAACTGGTAAATTTGTATCTGTGCGTTATTTCTTTGATAAATGTCTTTTTTTTTTTTTTTTTAATTTTATTAAACTTTTTTGCCTTTTATGTTGTTTGCTGTTTGTCAGAATTGGTGGCTAGTTGAACTAACCCAATTCTTATCAAATTTTGTTTAGCAGTTTCAAGATCTCAAATTTCTGCTCCTCCTGGATTCTCAGTTCCTAGCAGAGCACCGCCTCCAGGCTTTTCTTCTCATGAGAGAGTGGATCAGCCTTTTGATGCACTTTCTGGTGAGCTGTCATATTATATGTTTGGATATTATGATATTACCGCTACGTTGCCTGTTTAAAGTCTCTAAAGCATCTCTTTCATTGGCTTAACAGGAAACCATTTGCTCGACTCTTCCTCCCTGTTGAGAAATACTTATCAGACACAGCATGCTGGAAATATCAGTAGCACTGGGGATATTGAATTTATTGATCCTGCAATTTTGGCTGTTGGTAAAGGGAGACTTCAAGGTGGGCTTAACAACCCTGGCTTAGATATGAGGTCTAATTTCCCCCCGCAGTTAAATGCCTTTGAAAATGAGGCAAGACTGCAGTTGATGATGCAAAGATCTCTCTCTCCGCACCAGAACCTAAGATATGCTGATGTTGGTGATAGTCTTAATTCTCTTAGCGACTCTTATGCCATTTCTTCAAGGCTGATGGACCAATCACAAGTGAACAATCTATCTCCATATGCACAGCTATCCATGCAACAGTCTAGAAATTCCCTGATTTCAAATGGCCACTGGGATGGGTGGAGTGAGGTCCAGGGTGGAAACAGTTTAGGTATGGCAGAGCTCCTTAGAAATGAGAGACTGGGGTTTAACAAATTCTATACTGGGTATGAAGAATCAAAGTTTCGGATGCCCAGTTCAGGTGACATATATAACAGAACATTTGGGATGTGATTTGTGTTGGAAACAAATTAATCGCTTGATTGGAGGTGGTGGATTACAGAAGAAAAATACTGATCTCATGGATGTTGATCGCGTAGTAGTTGAGGATGGGACTAACTCCGCTATAACTGGTCTCGTTGGGCAGGCTGATGAAGGATCAAATTCTTGAAAAGATGGGGCCTAAAAACCGGGTCTGGATACCAACAGGTGAGATAAATTAACTTGATTAATAATTTACTGGATTGAAAAGTTTTGATCTGCATTTGGCCATTTAACTAACTAGCAAGTGAAAGCGACATTTGGGTTTAACATTTGTGCCCTTTCATTTCAATTTTAATTGCGCCTATCTGGGCTATGTGGATGGAGTTTGTCTAATACAAGAGTATGCTTTTTGCAGGGTAGGTAAGGTGAGTTCTACAGATAAGTGTGTGTATTGCGGAATGCTGTATATGATGACAATGATATAAACTAGTAGGTTGATCCTCCATATATGTTCGAGTGTTTTGCTTCTAATTGCAGTTTAACCATAAAAATTTGGTTGTTCATCTCACTGCTTAAATAGATGAAATCAGATCCAATGTCCGTTTCCTCCATCTCTTCCCTCTTTCTTCTTTTTTACTTATTTGAGTGTTGTACAAACACAACCGCTTTGATTTGTGAGGAAGCTTGGACAATCTTAAGAAGCTTGGGTTGAATAACTATTTTTTAAAGTGCTTCTTTTAACACTTAATTTGCGTGGCTGGATTGGGTCTTGATGTCAATAATTAAATATGGTTTCTGTAGAGCAAGGAGAGGATAATCAATGCTCAAAACCTTATATTTTATAAGGTAAATGTCGTTTAATAATAATTTGCGTGGCAGGGTTTAATTTTATTTATGTTTTTTTTCAAATAAATGAAATATTGGTTGCCGAATAGTAAATTGACGAGTACTGTAAGGAAGAAATGTTAGATGCTCAAAACCTTATTATAAATGTCATATAAAGCGAAAAAGTCATTAACTAGTTTTAAGCCAAATGAAGAGGAAAATAGAAAATTGTAAATCATCTGGTTTGTCCTCGGACTTGAAAGTGGAACAGGATCAAGTTTTGTGTTTAATTACCAAATGATGATAATTCAATTTTTAGTTCAACAAGCTAGATTATCGTATCTGAAATTCTGAATATACCATAGTGCCTAATTAATTTTGGTCAATTACAAAATATATCATAAAGAAAGATGAAACACGACAAGTGTAGTGAAAAACTAGTTTATTATAGGCGTGAGGCAATTTTGTTGTACGAGTGTACTATTTAACCATATGGTAAACCGTATAAGTGAAATCTAATTGTGGTAGATAAAAGATTTACAGCATAATTCAAATCTAATCCCCTGATCCTCGGCTTCCCTTTTTTAAATATACATCAGACCTAACCCGGGGCGGGTCCATACCATAGTATTTACTTCCCTAAACAGAGCAGAGTCTAGAACTAAACGAACAATTTTAAACATTTATTTAATTGAAATACAGTATTGCATGTGTATAAGGAATGGTATGTAGCAATTAGCTGAGTTTTTTGTTTACTATAAAAATACATTAACTTGACATGTGGATTATTGTTTTAAAATAATACTTTGGTATTTGGGTGCTTTTTGTTTTGGTTTGGTCTCCTTAAAAGAATCACTGCCACCCACCCACAGTTACCACAGGTAAAGAACATTACACTAGGTTTCAATTGACGGCCTTTCAAACAGTTATCCAAATGTTACTTAAAAAGTTAAAACAAAGACAAAGTTATTAAAAGCATATGGTTTCCCTATCCCTATCCCCAAACAAACATGAAAAAACCTTCCTGACAATAGGGGTGTCTGTGTCTCATTCATTGCCACATATTATCTTTAAAAAGAATGTTTAAAAACAACAATAATAATCTAATAAAAATGAAACCCCACCAATCAAAAACCCTAACTCTAGCACCAAACCTAACCAAAACAACAAAGCGAAATGGGGCCATAAATGCAGTGTAAAAAAGATAAGAGTTGAACAAAAATCCAACTGGGTATTGTCCCACCATGTGTTCCAATAACCACAGTGAGATATGTGGTGCTCCTTTTAAGCCAATTCACTCATTATTCACAAAGTGAAGTGGGGTCGTTTTTTTTGTCCATTGCCATTTGGAGTATTTGCATTTGCGTACAAGAAAAAGGGTTTTGATTATATGCCTATGTTTTTCATGATGAAAGATTTGGCCATGTGGGACTAGTACTAACTGATTAGCCTTTGAAACCTTGGTGGCACAAATTTAAAGTCAAGCCCCACACTCCACCCCCCCCCCCCCCCCCCCCCCCCCCCCCCCCCCCAAAAAAAAAAAAAAAAGGGTAACTTGAGCTACATGGAAATGTTTTTGTTCTGTATACAGTCCTTTATGTAAATACTGCCGAAATGTTTTAGACGATCAAATTTTATTTTCTACTGTTTAGTTTAAGCATTTTTGTGTAGAAAAATATTTCTAGGTTTTTTTTTTTTTTTTTAAATCATTGAAAACACGCTATACAAGTTTTTAGTAAAGTGTCTACAAAAATACATATTGTATGATTACTTTCTTAATATAGAAAATTTTGTAAGATGGGTATATCACGATAATATTGCTTATAAATTTTCTCTCATAATATGATGAATTTATCTTTTTTTCTCTATTCATACATTATTATTTAGTGGGTAGTTTCTAGAATAAATATATGGGTAGACTTTATTATTTCTATGTTTAAAGTGTTTATTTATACAGGAAGAGCACTCAGATATTTTGGTGAATAAATAAATGTAATTGACTATTTAAGCTAAAAAAAATGAAGCAAAAACTATTGAAAAGAAAGGTAGTGTAGTAGTGTACCTGAATAATTTCACATCAAATCTTAGCTTTGCTTTGCATTATTTGAATGAGTCAATGAGTGTCCAAATTTAAGGATTCCTATTCTTTCACCAAAAGAGAAGATAGTGGGGACTTTGAAAAGATTCGCATTTATGGGTGGGTTCCCTTTTTAGGTCACATCTGCCTTGAAATAATTCTGTATTTATGCTCCCATATATCTCTTTTGTCATCCTATAAATTTATTTATGTTAGTGTTACTTCACTGTCACGTTTCTGGGTTTTCTTTTCTATTTCCTTTTTGTTCATATTATTGTCATTATTTTGTTTTTGTTTTAAAAACATTAACAAACAAAATTTCAATCATAATACAATTTTTTTTTTTATCAGTTTATAACAAATACATTTTTGGGTAGATAATATAAATGAGAATGGTGGCAATCTTTGTGTCCAGTAATTTCAAGTCTCAAATGATGATGGATGAAATCACAGAAACAATGAGAGTACCTTTTTTTGTTTTGGTTTTGTGTCGTGTATAGTTACTTAGTTTGATTGATGATATGGCAAATCAAGAAGAATCAAATAAAATCAAAATACTAATGAAAACTGGCAAATGGCAGTTGACATGGCAGCAGAAAGAGAGAGAGATTGATTTGACCAAACGATGATGCTCAATGAATAGTAACATCAAATTCCTGTGTTTTCATTTAATGTGATATGACACTTGTCATATATTAATAGTTGGTTGTATCCTCACCTATATTTTATTAAATTTAAATATCTTATTATTTTTATTCCAAGTTGTAGATTTTATCATTTCAGTTTTAAAACTTTAAAACACTAAATTATAATTATATTAAAAAATTGATGGTTGAGAGTAGTGTTTGATGGTTCATAATCAGAAAATAGTGGGGTACCATTCCAATGTGTCATTGGAAATGAAATTTTGATTGTTTAAAGTGATGTGACCATTGGGCAAAAAGGTATGTAATTCTATTTCTATCCAAGCTCTAACCTCAATAAGTATAGTTTGGTGCCTTTCAAATTTCAAGTGGGGAGATAGATTAGATCCCAGACAACAAAGTTATATGTGATTAAATAATAGTTAATAGACCGACACTTAAGGAGAATCTTTTCTGCTTATTATTCCTTCCCAATGTATGTACTATGGTCTATGTACTTATTCGGGTACATCAAACATTATGTAGTTAGTACATGTACACAAAAACAGGTTTCAAAATTGAGAATTCGAACAGACTGCCACCATGCATGTTCTTTCCAATATTGACTTGAGTTAATGACTTTTTTGCACCCAAATAATATATTAATGATACTTTTTTATTTATAAACTTTTAAAATACTATTTTATTATCTAAATTTATATTCTAATAACAAAAAGAAAACAAATTCGATCAAGGTTATTTGGGTTTTTAAATAATGAAAGTCGATGAATCTTTTAATAGTAGAAAATTGGATTTTGATAATTGGGATTGATTAAAATTCGACTTGGAATAAATGGTTGCGAAAACCCTAATCACTAGATTGCTGGTGATTGACTGATCAACAAGAGTCGGGTTTTGGCGAGTGATGATCGCAGAGAATAGTGGTGATATAAAATCGCAACGATGTCGAAATCGAAAACGAAATATAAATTTGAGTAGTAAAATGGTATTTTTAAAGTTTATAGGTAAAAAAGTATCATTAACTATTATTTGGGTGGACAAAAGTCATTTACTCCATTGCCTTTGAAAGATTATGAAGGGTCGATGGTTTAATTAGAAAACTGAAAGGCCAACAAACTTTGATGGCATTGGCTCGTTTGGTTTTCCACTACTAGAAAAGGAGGAGTGTGTGTGTGTGTGTACTAATAAATAGTACCGTTGTGCATTCAGTTGTTCCAACTTCACGCCTTTTGAGCAACTAAAGCTGTACTTGAGTTGTGCATGCATGAGATTATTTCAAGTGTTACGAGGTATTATTGTACATCAAAACCTATACTGTGGGTCATTCAAGTTAAATCATATTACTAAATATAACCCATAAGTAGTGAAACCTAATTAAACTTTCTTCCTTTTTGGAAGCTCTGCTCCCAGAGAATCTTTGTTTCAAAACAGATAGATAACCTACTCTTAACATTGAACTGCATAAAATAGATAATCACTGCAATAGTGGTAAAATCACTTCAAATGGGATTAGCATTTTCTTAATAGGGGGTGTACTTAAACAAAGAGTATAGTAGTAATGATATATCGAAGTCGGAAACTGAGTCCTTGCCGGGTATATGAATCAATATTTTGAATCATACAATTGGAATTTAAATACCACTGCTGTTATTGACCTGAATATTTAAATTTAAGGGTGAAGTGAAGATAGGCTATGGTGGTGGCTGTGGTGGCTTCATCTGATAAAAGAACTGAGAGGTGTTCGGAGCAGTGGTGGTGGATGGAGTGAAACAGAGATTCAGGGCTGCTGGGTTGAGAGGTTTTGATGAAAGAATGGCAGCGGTGGGAGGGGTAGCTGAAAATGAGAATCCTGATGATGCTGCAGTAGAGAACATTGGCATTGAGGTGGCACTGACATGACCATGCGTTTGCCATGCCCAATTTGGGAGACCTTGTGGAGGACCTAACTCAGTTCTCTTCTCTGTTGCTCTTTCCTGCCAAATAATTCAAAATTTATTATGAACAACACACATGTCAAGCATGTATTGGTTATTTTTTCTTTTTTTCAAAATTAAAGCAATTTCCATCAACATGCAATATTGTATCAACATCGCTTCACATTCCACAGCTTGGATAAATGACATCTAAAAGAACAGAAGGAAGAAAGAATTTAACCAAAGTAAACCAAAAAAAATTCCCAAAAAAATAAAACGATGATGTTTACCTCAGTCAGAAGAAAACTAGGATATACACCATTCCAGAAAATTGGGTTCTCAGAAGTCCTCATCCCTCTGGAAAGTGGATCACCCACTATTGCAGCAGTAGAGTTTTCCATCTGCAAAGCAGATCACAGAGAACATTATATATAGATAACTTTGAAGCTCAAATACAGATGTCATGCTTCATGGCCTTCTATCGTGAAGACCACATCAAATATCTAAATAATCTGTGCAAAGATGTATGACAAGAAGAAAAACTTTTGAGATGAGTGTTGCCAAGATCAAATTGTTGTGCAACTAGTCCAGTTAGAACAACTGGGTGTATAATACTAATAACAGACACTGAGGAATTGACTCTCAATTTGGAACTATTAAACAGAAACCAAAAATTAATTTTAATTCGAAATTACCTTTGAATTTCTTCCACCGTGCAAACCACTGCCATTTGCTGGAGATATCCCCAAGTTCAGGTCAAGATTATGCTCGCTGCCTACATAAAATAATTCAAATACCGATTTAGCAAGAAGTCTCTTATAGTTGTGTGGGAAAATTTTGTTGAATACAAAGCAAGCGAGCAATATCTTCACATACCTTCATTATTGGCCTCAGAGACCATGTCTCCTTCATATACGCTTGGCTCAAAGTTGGTGACCGCCTCCCTTCCATTACATTTGATAGCCGCCTTGTCATAAGCCCTAATTTCCAGAAAACCAAAAGGTAGACGTGTTGGAAGGAAGCCAATTGAGGTTGACAATTCAGGGTAATAAATTCAGAATTATTAGGACCTTGCAGCTTCTACTTCACTGTCGAATAGCCCAAGATAAATATACCTGCATGCAACCATCGTAATCTCCACGATGAAAACACCATCGCCAATTATTTCTTCTTTCAAATAGGCATCTTAGAATTGTTTTTCCATACAAGGAAAAAACACAGACAAGCCCATTGAGAATTAATTTGAACCAATTCTCGGTTCACCATAACAAGCGCTTTAACTTCCATTTTCCACATTCAAGTATGATATAAACCAAAATTTAAAATTCCATAAAAAGATTTCCTTACTTTTTGCCAAGAAACTGTCCCATTCGCGCTTCCCACCGGCCACATTTGTGAAGTGTCACCCCTCGATATTTTGAGCTTCCTCTTGAGAAACCGGTGCTCTGGCGACGTAGTATATGCACGAATTCTTCTTTGGTCAAATCCTTCATCTGCCCCATTAATCAACATCACATAAGAAACCACCATAACTACCTGACCATACAAAATAAAACCAGCTCCTTACTAATAAGGTGTCAGTTATCCAACCTGTTTCATTTCTTCCTGATAATCAGCAAGATTAAAATTGATGTCCGCATCAACGCCCCTGAACTTAATAGCAGCTCGATCATAAGCCCTGAATAAAATGTGTCGTTAGAAAACTGAAAGGCCAACAAACTTTGATGGCATTGGCTCGTTTGGTTTTCCACTACTAGAAAAGGAGGAGTGTGTGTGTGTGTGTACTAATAAATAGTACCGTTGTGCATTCAGTTGTTCCAACTTCACGCCTTTTGAGCAACTAAAGCTGTACTTGAGTTGTGCATGCATGAGATTATTTCAAGTGTTACGAGGTATTATTGTACATCAAAACCTATACTGTGGGTCATTCAAGTTAAATCATATTACTAAATATAACCCATAAGTAGTGAAACCTAATTAAACTTTCTTCCTTTTTGGAAGCTCTGCTCCCAGAGAATCTTTGTTTCAAAACAGATAGATAACCTACTCTTAACATTGAACTGCATAAAATAGATAATCACTGCAATAGTGGTAAAATCACTTCAAATGGGATTAGCATTTTCTTAATAGGGGGTGTACTTAAACAAAGAGTATAGTAGTAATGATATATCGAAGTCGGAAACTGAGTCCTTGCCGGGTATATGAATCAATATTTTGAATCATACAATTGGAATTTAAATACCACTGCTGTTATTGACCTGAATATTTAAATTTAAGGGTGAAGTGAAGATAGGCTATGGTGGTGGCTGTGGTGGCTTCATCTGATAAAAGAACTGAGAGGTGTTCGGAGCAGTGGTGGTGGATGGAGTGAAACAGAGATTCAGGGCTGCTGGGTTGAGAGGTTTTGATGAAAGAATGGCAGCGGTGGGAGGGGTAGCTGAAAATGAGAATCCTGATGATGCTGCAGTAGAGAACATTGGCATTGAGGTGGCACTGACATGACCATGCGTTTGCCATGCCCAATTTGGGAGACCTTGTGGAGGACCTAACTCAGTTCTCTTCTCTGTTGCTCTTTCCTGCCAAATAATTCAAAATTTATTATGAACAACACACATGTCAAGCATGTATTGGTTATTTTTTCTTTTTTTCAAAATTAAAGCAATTTCCATCAACATGCAATATTGTATCAACATCGCTTCACATTCCACAGCTTGGATAAATGACATCTAAAAGAACAGAAGGAAGAAAGAATTTAACCAAAGTAAACCAAAAAAAATTCCCAAAAAAATAAAACGATGATGTTTACCTCAGTCAGAAGAAAACTAGGATATACACCATTCCAGAAAATTGGGTTCTCAGAAGTCCTCATCCCTCTGGAAAGTGGATCACCCACTATTGCAGCAGTAGAGTTTTCCATCTGCAAAGCAGATCACAGAGAACATTATATATAGATAACTTTGAAGCTCAAATACAGATGTCATGCTTCATGGCCTTCTATCGTGAAGACCACATCAAATATCTAAATAATCTGTGCAAAGATGTATGACAAGAAGAAAAACTTTTGAGATGAGTGTTGCCAAGATCAAATTGTTGTGCAACTAGTCCAGTTAGAACAACTGGGTGTATAATACTAATAACAGACACTGAGGAATTGACTCTCAATTTGGAACTATTAAACAGAAACCAAAAATTAATTTTAATTCGAAATTACCTTTGAATTTCTTCCACCGTGCAAACCACTGCCATTTGCTGGAGATATCCCCAAGTTCAGGTCAAGATTATGCTCGCTGCCTACATAAAATAATTCAAATACCGATTTAGCAAGAAGTCTCTTATAGTTGTGTGGGAAAATTTTGTTGAATACAAAGCAAGCGAGCAATATCTTCACATACCTTCATTATTGGCCTCAGAGACCATGTCTCCTTCATATACGCTTGGCTCAAAGTTGGTGACCGCCTCCCTTCCATTACATTTGATAGCCGCCTTGTCATAAGCCCTAATTTCCAGAAAACCAAAAGGTAGACGTGTTGGAAGGAAGCCAATTGAGGTTGACAATTCAGGGTAATAAATTCAGAATTATTAGGACCTTGCAGCTTCTACTTCACTGTCGAATAGCCCAAGATAAATATACCTGCATGCAACCATCGTAATCTCCACGATGAAAACACCATCGCCAATTATTTCTTCTTTCAAATAGGCATCTTAGAATTGTTTTTCCATACAAGGAAAAAACACAGACAAGCCCATTGAGAATTAATTTGAACCAATTCTCGGTTCACCATAACAAGCGCTTTAACTTCCATTTTCCACATTCAAGTATGATATAAACCAAAATTTAAAATTCCATAAAAAGATTTCCTTACTTTTTGCCAAGAAACTGTCCCATTCGCGCTTCCCACCGGCCACATTTGTGAAGTGTCACCCCTCGATATTTTGAGCTTCCTCTTGAGAAACCGGTGCTCTGCCGACGTAGTATATGCACAAATTCTTCTTTGGTCATATCCTTCATCTGCCCCATTAATCAACATCACATAAGAAATCACCATAACTACCTGATCATACAAAATAAAACCAGCTCCTTACTAATAAGGTGTCAGTTATCCAACCTGTTTCATTTCTTCCTGATAATCAGCAAGATTAAAATTGATGTCCGCATCAACGCCCCTGAACTTAATAGCAGCTCGATCATAAGCCCTGAATAAAAGAAGCCCGACCTTTTTATTGAAATAGTTGATCCAAACTTAAATCAGCTTGAAAATGAGTCAACAAGTTTCTTTAAATTACAAGATTTATTTACCTAGCCGCAGCATGGGCAGTGTCAAATCCACCTAAAATTACGCAACAAGAAACCCATTTGATTAATTGATATACGCCAAAAGAAAGGGAAAATAAAAACAAACAAACTGTAATAACTTCCTTGATTAACCATAAATCAAATAAAAATAAAAATTACATAAAATCATATTCATACCCAGATACACTTGTTTCCCACAATCCCTGCACCAGAAATTAAAGCAAAAAAATTAATTAGAGTATTAAAATATATAAACTGATATATTCCGCAACCAAAAACATCCAAATACAAATGAAATTTGACTTCAATCACCGGAACTAAATAGAACAAAATCAACCAACATTAAAATGAAGCCCACAACCAAACACATCGAATGTTAGAGAAACAAAAATAAGTGTACCAGATATGAGATTCCCATCGACCAGTCCTTCTATAAAACGTGACTCCTCTATACTGTGAGCTCCTTGACCTGGGACCCCTCCTGCTCTTCTTCACTGCCTGTGACGGTTGCTGCACTACCCGCACCTCTCCTCCACCTTCTTGTAGATGTAGTTGCTGTGGCTGTGGCTGCTGTTGTTGTTTGTCAAATGTAAGATCGATCAAATTTCTAGAAGATTGTCCCTCGCAGCTCGCTAAGTCACCTCCATGTCGCTTAGTTCCTCCACTGACCGGAAAAAACGCAAACTCCTTTGTCACGACGTCGTTCTGGTTCTGGTTCTGGTTCTCATTTTCGTTCTCGTTTTGGCTTTTACCTCTGCCCTCACCGACCTTTAAAATGTCGAAATGGAAGGTGAAAACGCTGTTGTCACCGGCGTTGGCGCGTGTGGAGCACGACTCGTCGTCCCCGACATTGCTGCACGCGTCCGCATTGACGATAGATGAATTCGAGGTCCCCGACGAACCTTCAGGAAATTTCTCCAAGAACACCACCGAGTCGACTCGGTCGTCCACGTTCTGTTGAGTCGACTCGATCGACACCACATTTAGATTAAGATCCAACATAGCTCTCTTATATCACTAAATTCAACTCAAATTCAGCTTTATTTTTTTCAATACTCAGCTTCAGAACAGCGTAAATAAAGCATTCAAAGTTTAATCCAATCCAAAGGTTGAGATCGATCGGATCGGAATTATCAAATATTTTAAAAATTACGTAACAGTGATCAGAGCCGAGAATCTTAATTATGAAAGGAAGAAAACTTGAAAATGAAGAGTCAAACCAACGAGAAACTGAAGATTATAAAATACATATATATAGAATCAAAAGTTTGTTTTCTCTCTACGACTACCGCACAAGGTTCCAGGCGACCGTGCAGGTTAACCGGAACACAAAAACGTGTCGTTTATTCAGAGAGAAAGTGAAGCTCAGTGGAGCTTAGCATTTGCTCAATTAATCGGCAAGGAGTGGGAGGACGGAGCGAAAACATCGCCGACTAACTGAGTCCATGGTTTTAGAGAGAGAAAATTGTTTTAGTGAGAGGGAGAGCAAAGAAGGAGACGGGACGTGTGAGAGAACGTTTCAGACCCATTTTAAGAGGAGATGGAATATATAAACATTTTCTCTCTCATTGTAATGGAAACCGGCTGAGACGGTCACCCGGTTTCTTTATTTTGTTCGAGAGAGATTCTTTTTTATTGCTCGTACCGGTTATTTTAGTGGTCTCATAGATGGAAACACCCGTCTATAGTATAACTACCATACCTATACGCATTTATACATCTAACACGTACGTACATGTAGATCCAACTTCGTATTTTCATCAGTGTTTACGATACATCAATTTATAATAGCTTTCCACCCAGGTAATGACTTGATGACACTTTCTTAACTTTTAAAATACTATTTAAATTTGCATTCTTTTTCGATTCTAGTATTATTGTAACCCACATCATCACCATTCTCTTCTTCGATCATATCACTAGTCAAAACCCCTTAAACCTTACTCTTGTTGATCCCGTTAATCGTCAACAATCGAGTGATTAAGGTTTGTACAAATGCTCCTTCCAAGTTAAATTCTGATCAATCCTAACCATCAAACTTCAACTTTCCACTATAAAAAAACTCATCGATTCCCCTCTTCAAATGCTCCAACAGCCTATACTTAGTTTACTCTTATTCGCTGTCAGAATATAAACTTTGATAGTAAAATTGAATTTTAAAAATTTGTGGGTTGAAGAGTGTCATTAAGCCATTATTTGGGTGGGAAAAAGTCGGTAACTCATTTATAAATACAAAATTACCCTTATATTATTCTCGTAATTTTAATTTATATGGTCTTGTAATATGTAATTTATTATCATAAGGTACTATTAAGGCGTGGCTAACTTTTATTAATAAATTAATGATATGTGTTGCGGAAAAGCTGAATTAGAGAGAATTATTAGTGTGTTTTATTAAAGACATAATTAATTAGACAAAGGAAAAGGTTTTGCAAATCTATAAGGGTCCCAAGTTAATTTATGTCTATCTTTAGATTTTTTTTTTTAAAAATGATAATTACGTATTAATGTGAATTTTAATTGTTATTATTGATGTTAATATGTGTTTTATTGATAATGACATCAATCTAATATTTTCTCAAGATAAATTAAAACCCAAATATGATATGTAACAAGTATTGTTATGCATACAAAATCAAGGCTGACGTAAGCTTACACCAGCGAATACCAATCAGAGTTCATGAAGGTTTTGCACCGTTCACGATTTGTCATGTCGTCCTAAGACAGAGAGAATACGTCTGTCACCAACTCAGCAGATTTAGGTTTTGTCTACAAGTGAATGGGGACCGCACACTTGGCCAAACCCCAGATAATTTGAAGATATTTCTTAAGTTATTAACTAATATGATGCAATAAAGGACTTGCACGACACCAACCCACTTGTAGGTTTATAATCATCACCTTGAATTCAACAGCTATAAATAGAGGACTCCCTCTCACAAATTTGGGATCTCTCTGATTTTCGTAACAATAAATAGTAAAGACAAACCACAGGGAAGAGGCTGGTTTAATATTCACTCTGAATACCAAGCTTTTCTATCTTTGTTTACTGTTCATGACCTTTTGTATTACACTTATATAAAAGAAATAGTAGATGTAGAAATCGCTTTAAGCATCCGAACAACTATAAAATTCTTTGTCTTATTTATTATGAAGTCTTTGCACTCTATTGTAGCCTTATCCTAACTTAAATTAATCACGTGTGATTTTTAAGACCTACTTTACACTTTATACGTGCAATATCGTTAGTGTCAAAATCAAGCATCAACAAGGATATAATTACTTATATTAAAACCCAAATATTATTTAATTATTAAATAGACATTTTTAACCTTTTTTTTTTTTTTTTTTTTTTTTTTGTTTTTGCATTAGTGATTATGGTTTGATCCTGTTTCAGGAGGTTCTAGTGGGTTCTTGATGTGGCCGCTGCTCCTCTCTTGGCCGTGTAAGGGCCATTGTATAGCCTCCTTGGTCCCTTTTCTTTTTGGTTGTCCAGGTGGTTGGGTGTGGCGTGTAAAGGTGTTCTTGCTAGCTTTTTTTTTTCTTCTGGTTAGGCGGCATCCCTCTTTGTTTAGGGTCGTGCTTCTATGATGAAATTATCACCATATGTGATATTGGATTAGTTGATGGCTAAAACCAAATATATGCGGTTATTCTTTAAACTTCACTCCTAAGCATTTAATATTGTTACATTCATCTCTTGTTAATTGTACTAGCAAACCTTTTCTTTGTTCAATTCTTTACAATTTTTTTTTATAAAAATACCCATATTCAAAATAAATGATTTAATTGCTTTTATTTAAAATGATATTTATAGGTTCTCCCTAATCGAAAAATTGGTTAATAAAAAAATTGAAAGAAACAGAGAGTGAATTTTTTTTTTTCTTCATTGTTGTTTATACTTCCTTAAAAATTAAAATAGCTCTTAAAATGTTTAAAAAAAAAAAAATGGAAGCAAAATTAATGTCCTCTTTCTATATCCAAATCATATATAAGATGTTAAAATAAGGTAAAAAAAAACCAACTCTCTATTATCATGCTCCTCTTCCTCCAACATCTATTAAGACCCTAAACCTTAAACGAGGTGTCTTGGCCATTTGCACGTCTCAACTAATATTCAGAGTTCATGAATATCATACAAACTCATGTACCTCATTTACCGTACCTCAAATAATCTTCGAGGTTTATTGAACATTCTATAAATTTAATGTTCCAGATAAGCCATAATTTAGTAGATGACTTTAAAATGGTTTGAACCATAAAGTTAATAAAAGAAACAAACCTTCTTGATCATCAGGCCAATACTTTAGATTAATCTATCAAAAGTTGCGTAAACTAAAGTTTGATTTAAATTAACACAGAATGTGACAACAAATTTTTACTTCCATTAGAAAAAAAATATATAAAACTTAAACTCTGATAGAAAAAATTCAGATCATTTTTACATACTCTATATATGCTATCACTTTCATCGTGAGGCAGTGTATATAATTTAATTTAAATCTGATAAAATTAAATTAATTTTCTGAGTACCTAAGATCTGATTAGATATATAGGTTCATTCAATAATGACCGCTTGTGGACAGTGTGACTTGATTCCTTGTATGTCGTAGTATGAGGACCACATGGTCTACTTCGAACTGCCTATTTAGATGGTGATCAGTGGACTTTTAAACAACTTGCTGATACAGTGGTCCTAGATCAAACGGTTGGGGTTAATTATTCCTCTCTCTGATTTTCTTAATCTCATCATAACCATAGTTCCTCTTCACATCCGATCCACTCCACGAAACATAAAATTTATTATTATTTCTCCATGACCTTTCGCTTTATGATTTTCCGTGGTCCTACAAATATTTTTGAATAATAAATACAATGCAAATAAACAAAAACAGTTGAAAATAGAAATGCGTATCATACTTTATAAAGAACCCAACAAACCTGCGAAACGAAATTATTGATGGAGGATTTTAATATTATTATAACACGTGTCAGCGAGTGGTATCCGTACGTAGTCAGCTGCCCAAACTCTGACAGCTGTCTATACTGCCTACCCCAACTGACCGTAAATTTTTATTAAACAAAAGAAAATGGAGAAGGGAATCTGTCTATGTTAGCTAATTCCCGTCTTTGTCCTTAGGAATTCGTAAAATTCATCAGCGTGTCCCCTGCGGCGGGCCAGTTTGCCAGCACGAGTAACACGTTCTTTTATTTCTTTTTGGTTGTTATTACAGTGGTCATATGTTAATCACGGTTTCCTACAGGACAAAAGTAGCATTCCTTGGCTGCAAAAGGCAAAAGCTCACCGTATTGGGATATTTGATTTCTTAAAAGACTTTGAGGCCAGTTGGCTCAATAAAATTTGATTTCTCACCTTTTATTTACATGTAAGATATGGGGTGTGAGATAATTTATGTTTTACAAGCAATTTTTTATTAAAGTAGTGATAAGAGTTTGTTAGTTTATCTTTTATTGATAATATGTGTATATTTTCTCTCCTCAATATAGGTATAGACCTTTTTTTTTTTTCGTGACTGAGGGTGTATCTAAACTAATTTACTGTAACTTCAATAAATCTCTTAAGACCTAAAGTTGACGATAAGGTAAACCTCTCAATGGTTACCCTATTAGGACTTATAGAGATTCAAACTCAAGATTTCATAAGATCTCTTTTTGTTTTTTTACTCTTAGATCATGTAGTGGTAGTTAATATATTTGTTAAATACTGTCATGTGATATATTTTTCTCTCCTTACTAAACACGAGTAAATATATGTTTAAACTTGTTATAATAAGATAGTAACTTCCTAGGATTAGAAAATTAATCAAATTCTTTTATAAAGTGGGGAACTTAGCCGCACAATTTGACCATGGAATCTAAGAAAATGGACATTTTGCTTTTCTTGGCTTTTAGAAACATCAAATCTTGATATTTTTTGTTTTTGTCAAAAGTGTTTTACTATTTGACTGTCGCCTTTTTCCATTTGCCCTTTTTACAAGATTCTAAGTTTGTTACTTTTGTTTAAAATCGAGCTTAATCAATCTAATTAATCTTAGATGTTTAATATAGGACGGACACGTATACTTACTTTATTGTTTTGACGTTTAATGATATAAGTTTATGTAACAAGATTTCTCAAAGTGTTTTAAGCATGTGCCTTAAATCTTTATTGACATCTTGGTTGAAAATCCTACAATTTTACAAAAGGTTTTACCGTTAATTCTAGGTAATACCAAAACATCAAAATCTAACTACCTTTAAATTATCGAGTAATTCGATAGAGATTCTTAGTATTTATTCAAAATGTCTTAAATTAAATCCTTCAGACACTAAAACTCAATTCAACTAAATATAAGAGTATAAGTACTATATGTTATTCTAAATTATATTTCCATTATTGTACTTGAACTTTTCTAGAATGTTAAATTTAAAGTGTCGCTTCATTGGGACACTTCCCCCTTCTCCGTTAATTCCAAGCCCAAGCCACCTACCATCGTGTACTTCCC